TGACTTGCGGGACCGCCACAGCTTGTCGGCGGATGCGTCGATCCACGCGTGCTGAAGTCACTCTGGCTGCACCTGCATCCCCCTTCTTCTCACATTTCCTTGTTAGAACCATGTTCGCTATAGCCGATGCACGTGTTCGCATCCATGTGGGTATCAGCTGAGATTTGACGTAAGGACCAACCCGCCCTTCTCAGTCCGATCACCATACCCCTCGTAAAATCGTCTATCTGCTAGAAGTACCTTCGCTGACGGCGGCCTGTCATTCTCTCCTATCACACGTATCCTCTGGGACAAAAACCAACTTTCTTCGATAATTCATCTGGCAGAAATAACGACACGAATATTGCCCATTCTGCACGTTCCTTCCTATGTATCTTACTTCATGTGCGGAGAGCAGCGCATTTCACATCATTCGCATAACTCAGTGACGTGCGTCTACTCTAAAATTTACATAAATTTCTGACCACTCCTTCTTGGTGTTGCATTTTTAATGTCGAGCAGTGTATTTAAGTTCTTTACTACATCATCTGAAACTCTCGACAAGTAATCTGCTGGGTTTTTGAAACCAGGAATATGCTCCATCGTGTATTGAAATTCCTGTAGATATAACAACCAGCGTGCTGCAATATCTGGCTGCTTGTCAAAATTGATATAGAAAGTTAGAGGTTTAGCATCCATTAATATTACAATTTTTTTTCCATACAGATGTTCGTGAAATTGTTTTACTGATCTGAGGATTGCATAAAGTTCTCTTCTTATTGAAGGATATCTAGCTTTGGCAGGTGTTAAAATTTTTGTGTAAAATTGTAGTGGGAAAAACTTATCATCATTCTTTTGATTTAATATGCCACAAATGGCTGATTTAGAAGCATCAGTTACTAAATACAGAAGTTTATCTTTGTCTACATTTTTTATTGTGGGTTTTTCTAAAATTAATTCTTGTATTTTATCTAAAGTATTTTGGCACCTCCCATTCCACACGAATGGAATATTCTTTCTTGAAGTTCACTATTGGCTTTACAATTTCTGCATAATTAAAAATTAGGTGTCCAAAATAATTTACTATACCTATGAATGTTTGAACCTCTTTCACATTTCTTAGCCTAGGAAATTCAGCTACTTTCTGAATATTCGCCTCTGAAAGAACAAAACCATTCTTATTAACAGAAAAACCTAAATAAGTAATCTCTTGTGTACATAGCTGCAATTTGGCTGGGTCTAAAGTTAAATTAGTTTTTTTAACTTGTCAGACACCTTTTGTAAAATAATTACTAGCTTGTAAATTCAATTCACCTAAACATTTTGATATTAGAGCATGGAAATAAGAAGGCGAATTTTTTGCACTAAAAGGTAACCAAGTTGGTTGAAAATTGCTAAGTTCCGTGCAAAAGGCTAGTTTTTCTTTATCTTTCTGATCTAATTTTATCTAAAAAAATGCCGACTTAAGATCTAGCACACAATAATAACTTTTACCTGCTATATTATGCAAAATATCTGAAATCTTGGGTAAACAGATTTGATATGATTTAGTTATGCAATTTAGCACTCTATAATCTACTACCATTCTAAATTTTTATTTACCTGGTATCGGCATTAGGTGGTGATTTCTTTTTTACAAAAATTGCTGCAAAGCGGTAACTCGATGTTGATGGCTTAATAATATCTGCTTCTAACAATTTGGCTATCTCCTCTTAAGCATATTTTTTAGCAATGCGAGGAATAGTGCACGGTCTGGTCTGAATTGGAAAGTTATGTAACAAATTAAATTGTGGCACTACAGCATCAGTCTCACCCAGAGTGGTGTATGACTTTGAAAACACAGCTGAATTTTTCATGAGCATTTCAATCATTTTTTTTGTTCTACTTCTAAATGGCTTAAATGAAAATCGTCTGGGCTTAATTCCTCCTTTCTTAACCTTTTAATTTATTTTAAAGTTATGTGGTTAATTTATAAATTTGATTGCTCTCTAGGCTTTTAAAATTGTTTTTCCTCTACTTTATACCCCTTCAATCTTTTCACCCTTTCTTAAAATGATTGTGGAATTCGAATTGCTTTCAATTATGGTGAAAATATATTGCCTCTCACTTATCTCATGAATTGAGTCAGTCATACCCATTTTGTCCTTTTTCGTCTATCTGGTGAAAACATTATTTGTTGTTCTTTCTGCATATTAGCTGGAATGCTTAATTTTAATATCTCTGCAGTATTTGGAAAAATTCTGGTATTTAATACTACTCTTACAATACCTGACTCATTTGGTTGACTATTCTTGTTTACCTTTTCTGCATTAATGCATTAATGTTTACCTTTTCTGCATTAATGACAATTTTTCTTTTGTCTAGGAGATCAAAATAGGTGTTATCAATAATTAACTGACTTTTATTTTCATCTATTAAGTGCCTTATTTTTTTAATGAAATCATACCCTAATATTATTTGATAATTTGTATTCCAATTATGTTGTGTAACAAAAAAATTGGTTGGCTTGCCATTTATTTCCTAAATGAAATTTTAAGTTTATAGCAGATAAATATGGGATAGAAACATTATTTAATGTATGTATTCTTACAGATCTGCTTAAGTAATGAATATTTGTATAAATTTTTATTACCTGCAAGGTGTCTGGCTGTATCAAGCTTAAAATTGCGCCTGTAGCAAGCAATGCTGCTACCACAAAGTTCCCAAATTTGATTTCTATTATTGGTAATTCTGTGATACTACTAGTGTGGCAGGAAGCTATCAATTTTTGTATTTATGTTTCTTATTTTCTTAATTTTTTCTTTTTTCCGCCAATTTTTTATGGGTACTTGAGTAATACTTTGTGTACCTGGGAGATCTGCAAGTACCCTTTACTAGTTTAACTTATTCTTACGAGCATTGTATCTTCTGATTTGTGGCCATATGTCGACTACTGTTCTGTACTCTATTACCTCGAGTGAAAGCATGCTGATTATTATATCTGTTTCTTCTATTAATAAAAAACTACTCTTATAGAAGTTTCTCCTGTAGCTGTCTCTAGTCTGTCTATAATATTGAAGATTATTGTTTGAAGGAAAATAAGGACACTCAGTAGTCCAATGATTTTGTTTCCAAATATGACAAGGTTCTGTATTATTATTTACTTGAGTAGCATTATTTTCTAGTCTAGTTACATTGTTTACACTGCCATTAGGTAAAACTTTCGCTAAATGATTTTGACAAATCCTCAATAGCTCTATTATTTTGCATTCTGTTGCACAATTAACCTATTTAATTTCAGGTGAATAATCATGTGTCTGTGAGTTATTACCAGAATCCCCCAATGCTTTTTCTGTGTTCTTTGGCTGTTTAACTGCAGTGCCAAAATCAACAGGTCCTAGGTTTTTAACCTTCAATTTTAAATCTGGCTCTGAAGAGTTTCAATGAATTTTGAAAGCATAGCTTTTTGAGTGAGGTTATGTACCTCTTCACTAGAACTAGGATAGCATCCAAAATATTTAGCAGCATAAGCATTCACTTTGTCAGCTAAGTCCTTGACTGACTGATTTGGGGTCTGTCTAATTGAGGTAAAGTTATTTGAATTGTGTCAAATGACTGAGATTTTGCAAATTTGTTACTTAGTAATTTTTAAATCATCAAATGACATATCTTATATTCTGAATTGTGTCAAATGACTGAGATTTTGAAAATTTGTTACTTAGTAATTTTTTAAATCATCAAATGACATATCTTTACACGATTCATTATCCATCACAAATTTTAATGCCTTACCCCTCAACTGAATTTTTAGCACAAGACTTTTTCTTTGCTCATTCCAATTTTCTAAACTTGCCATTTGGCATAATTGATCTAGAAAGAATGTTACATATTCCTCATGCTCCCCTGAAAAAGTAGGCGAAGCATTTGCAATTATTCAAATGCTTTGCCTACTTTTTTTATTACTTTATATTCATAATACTAGTTTTCTTAGCCATTCTGAACCTAATTTACTATAATTACAGATTATTACTGATCCAAATAAATAGTACATTCATAAATACATTCTTGTAAGTCTTATCAAAATTTTTCACATGCATGATACAAGTTATTATATACTCATTATCACATATTATGATATACACTCAGCAATAATTTCTTAAATACTGACCAAAGTTTGCACTGACTCATTAAGACATTAACTGATACTTGTATTATTCACTGATATTACTATTTCCACATTATATTTTTTATCATTATATCATATTACCAGAAAACATTGTCATATGAAATTCTGTTTATTTTACACATATGCAATTTTTAACTTAATGTCTTTTTATGATTGTATGGTAGTACAATTTTTGAGACAGATCGTTAATAATACTAACAATAGAATAAATATATTTTGTTTTTTGTTGCTATAGGTTACCAGACTGGCAGCGTTGAGTTGTAGCAGGCAAGTTGCCACAATTGTTATCAGAGATAATCTCAAAATTAAAAAATATTTATCCTTATTAACATTTAAACAATCATCAATATTCACTTATTGGAATCACATGTGTAGCCGGGAATTATTAGGCACACGCACAAAATGGTTCAATAATGTATGTACTATTTCTATTATGGAGTTTATATTATTTCTATTATAGGGTTTATATTATTTCTATTGTGATGTCAATATTATTTCTATTAAGTTTCAGGTTTTAAAATGTGTTATGCAGCACTTTAAGCGTTAAACAGTTACTCGAAGTTACTGGTAAAACATTTGAGCAAGCAAAAAAATAAAAATTCTACATGTTCATTTGCATGAAAATTTCTGTATTTTCCAGCAAGATGAATAAAGATAATTTATCATCTTTCTGAAACAGATGACAATGGAATTTCAGACGCCCCTTTTGTATCACTATATCACTAGAAATACAGTAGTAACGGTATTTTATCATTTGATGCATGGGGCAATAATATCAAATAATTATCGGCTGCAACTTCATCGGAACTGTACTTTTATAGATAAGGGTTTCTTTAAAAAGGCCATTTCGAATTATCACGTTCCTTTTCATTTCGCTTACAAAGCTTTCAGAAACTTTTTTTTGCTTTGAACGTTTTGAGTTCGAAAAGCTAGAATCAGAATTATGAATTTTCTCGATTTTCTCGATTTTCTTGTTCATTTAGGTCATGTTCTTGGACTTCTGGGAGGAGATGGTGAGATAAAAATTCAGTGTTGTTGTTTTTTTAATATTTTTTCTCAATTTCTTATTTTGTTTATACTTATGCAGTTTTAATGGTTTTTTTAAATGGTGGTTTTACAGATTTATATAGATTATTCTGAGTCTAATAGCAATTATTAATTGATAACTAGGGAATTATATTAAGTCTAAAAGGAAATATATTTAAAATTGAAGTTTATTTTCTCATCAGATAGCTAATTTTTATTCTTTATGTAAACATCTAAAATTTTCATAAACTGAATGTAAAATTTATTATAAAACTATCACGTAAACAATAGTACTACTGTATTTGGGGACAAAATGAACATGTGCATGATCTCAAATATTTAAACCAAATGTCTTGGTCAATTTTTGTTATACGGATTACAATCCGCATGGTGTCTTTGGCTAAATAATACGGGTGACATTCCTACGCTGTATTTTCGTCATTTATTTTCGCTGATGATGCCAAATGCCAGATGAATAAATTTATGTGCACTATTTTCGAAAAGAAACTTTAATCATTAAACAAATTTTAGTTAATAGTTTTAATACATTAAACATATTTACACATTTTTAGAACAATTTCGATAAAGAATTTTTAAAAAGAGGCAGATATTTTTGGGGGAATTAATTTTTATGGCAACATCTTATTATTTGAAATGAGAAATAGCTTTTGCTACTTTTAAACTCATTGTTCTTTCAAACTGTTGCATGTAAACAAGCTGTGGTTTGAATGGCAGTTGCTACTTCTGAACTCATTGGTCCTTCAAAACAATGCATGTAAACAAACTGAGGACTGGAGGATATGTTTTTGCATTCCTTAAGAGAAATACTCATATTCCATAATTCAAGTTACTGTTAACGCTGCACCAGTCTTCTTGGCATGGGGAAGGGAAATTCATTCCAACAAAAATTCGTATAAACAGGCATTTCAGATGTTAAGAAAAACAAATTTTCGCATCTACCGATGCAAACGAATTTAAAAAAGCCTTCAGATTATGAGATATCTAATCAAAATTTTTAAATACTTATGATATTAATCAATAAAAAAAATTATATATTTTTTTCTTTTTTTCATAACTATTTTAAACGGCTAGATATTCTCACCGGCAATTAATATGCAAGGCCGTAAAATAACAAACTTAACTAATAGAGAAAGAAAGTTGCCGAAAGGCTGAACACGCTGTGTCTGAAGTACTCAGACACCGGCTTTAATAGTAGCTTTCTATCCTATTTTGCATAATGTAAGAAACTGAAATCTCATTTTGGCGAGAAAGCGTGGATTATAAATAAGAGTTATGGGAAAGGTTGCTTCCAAAATAAAATTAAATAAAACTTCGCAAATTAATTTTATAATCTTCTCGTTAAAATAAAATTCTCAGTGTATTAAAAAATATTTTTCCCGAAGATTTTTTTATATGGACGTCAATAATTTAAAAATGTCCTTATAATAGACATGTTATAAGAGCACAAGGAAATCATTTAATAACATTAAAATTTTAAAAATGTATTTTAAATATATTTTTGATATGCAGCAACTATGATTTTCATTTACTCCAATCCTTAAAAGAAGACAAATATTTGAAAGTGAAGGATAGCATTTGTTCAGTAACAAATGACAATAATTTACTTTCTTTCAGCTTAGTATTAATATATTTAATATTTTATTAAATGTACATAGCTTTTGCTATGGCAGGTTCACTCTAAATCAAAATGTCAATTCAGCTAATCCAACCAATGGAACAAGAAATAATAAAAACACATTCTAAGCTTATTATATCAGACTGTTTACATCTCGAAAATAAGACGAAAGAAAGCTAGGTCCACTAACTGGAGCAATTCAACAGAACAGATTGCATAGAAATGACTGATTCGTATAGGAACAAATGAATTCATCAACAATGACTGCTTGTTGGCATCAGGTCTGGCCAGGAGTTGTCAACAATTTCAAAGGATTTCCATCAATTGAAAATGAGGCCAAAAAAATCGTACAAACTGCAAAAACTATAGGCGGTGAAAGATTTTTCTGATAATGGGAGAGTGAGAAATCAAACAACTAAGTCGAGAATGATGATCAGGAAATGACAAATGAAGAGGTATAGTATCTTATGATGCCATCAGATGGTGAAACAGCGATGCTGAAGGAGGTAAAAAGCCTTTAATGAACAAGAAATTAAACTAAATTTTTAGAAAAGCACAGGAAGTGTGTGATTTGAGACAAGTCTGATTTTTTTGACTGAGATTGAACCAAACGAAGAAAGAAGATACCTTAAGATACGTATTAAAAACTTTTGCATTCCTTACTGCGAAACGCTTAATGAGTTGCGTCTGTTATTGTCCTAAGCGAAAGTTACCAGCTGTTTAAAAAAATAATTTTGTCATATACATAGTTAATAAGCAGTATTAGAAATCCCTTCAATTAATATTTGCTTCCTTTTCCCTTTTTAATTACCACAATATTTAGATTCGGAATTCGATTTTTCCGTACGAGTAATGTATTAATTATGTAATCTTCGCGTTCGGCCAGGATTGGATTGGATTATTTAATTACGGCACACGAGGGCTATCTAGCCTGAAGGGAGAGATGCCTTCGTGGAGAACTTTCTAAGGAAAACTGGCTCGTATACACGTTACACATGGGAAAACCACGAAAAACGCCCAGGCAGCCAGCCGGTTCGCGGGATTCGAACCTCGGACCGAACTACCAGTGTTCAGCGTCTTTACCGCTCGGCCGCTGGTGGGCCTTTCGGCAAGGATTTACTGTAGTTGGCTGTTTGACTGAGGAAAAGCATTTAAGGACTACCTGTCTATGGAGAGTTTGGCTTTCACGGAGGACTTTCTAAAAGAAACTGTTTCGTTTTCACTTTACGACGGAGAAAAGGGCGAAAATCTACACCAGATAAACTATCGTCTAATAATCGGTTTGATTTCGCTTACTTGAATATGCCAAATTACACGAGAGTTATCTGCCTAAAGGAAGAGATACTATCATGAAGTACTTTATAAGAGAAATTGGCTTATATATTCATGTAGTACATGAGAAAAAGGCCAACCATGTAGCCAGTCATCCGGATAGGATAGAACCTGAGTCAAGCTCTCGCATTGAGTGGTCTTAATCCCTCCAACACTGTTAAGCTGCTAGGATTTGAACCCTGGTTCAATCTATCCAACTACCAGTGTTTTGCGTTCTTATTCGCTCGAATACCGACCCTGTTAGTGTGAAACAGTAGTGATGTTATGATTTTTGTCCAGTTTTCTTTTATGATTTAGAGTATTTCTTCAGTATTTCTATGCAGGTGACAAACCGTATTACATCTTTTAATGTAATTTAAAAAATTATCTAATTTTTTGACTCCATTCAAGTAAAGAATTTTGAGAACCAAGAAACAAATCACATTTTCCGTGTTCAAGCCTAATGGTGACCTTCCATGGATTTCAGGACTAATATTTCGGATAGATTTCTTTACGAAACTGGCCTAAAGAGTAAGCTACAAAAATGCAGGATTCCAAAGATTGTTAAATTTACACAACATTTTTTTTTGGGGGGGGAGGAGCACGCTGTGTGAACAAAGATAAGAGTTCACAATTAGTATAAACGACTTTTGATAAGTATATTTGAAGTGTGTTTATCGATTTCAGTTAATCGTTATACATAGTCCAAACTAAATCTTTTAACGAAAACCGCCCACCTAATATCGTCTTATCGAATGCTATCATACTATTGTTTTAAGAACAGCGAAATAGAAGACAATGGGGTTAGCTTGTTATTGAAAAACAAATATAAAAGATCAAATCATTCTTTTACAGGAAAATAAACATATTCGTGATGTATGGTTTTGAATGAAACATAGAAGTTAATTTCATACGTCAAATATTTAAATTGTATTTTTTTAAAGTTTTAAATATTATTGATAATTTAAAAGTAGATAGATTTCTTTATGCTCTTATATTATCAAGAGAAGATTAGTTTGCGTATATATTTAACCATTCTTAATTATTCAACATATTAATGACTACTCTTAGAAAATACTACACGTATCTCTTATGAAAGAGACCTCGCCTGTCTTGTAATATTTGACTAAACAAGCTGATTTACTGCACAAAGTTACCTCAAGCTATTATGCTGGTTTCGTTATAACCTGCGAAACAAATCAGAGAGCTGTTATTGTTTTATTTTATGATAACATTGTTATCAATTATCTGTGCTTAAAGTCGTTCATCTTTAATGTTATGGAAAATGCGTTGCTTAATGTAGTGTATATTAATCATTTAAAAATTCCTTTTTCCTGCACTTCTTAACAAGTGTTAAAAACACATGACAATTTTGCAACACGTGTTATTTTATATCCCGAATGTAGTGAATAAAATAGTTTTCTAATACCTATAATAGGTAGATTGCAAATTTTTCTGTTCTACATTTTGTGTACACTAGCGTCTCCATTAAAAATTAAATTCGAGTGATTATGATAACGTTTTTTAGAAACATGCGACTGTGACAGACTGTAAGCCTCTTTATACATTTCATTTTTATTTCGCTTAATTTTTAACATACTTATGTTTCTTTTTGTACAGTTTTATGTTCAAGAATGGAATGCAGAAATAAAACCTAGAACTTCCAAAATTGAATTTGTTTTTGAATTTATCATACCATTTAACAATAAAAATTTCACACTAAAACTGGAAACAATAATTATTTCTTTTATTTAAGGGGAAAATCGAAATATTAGATTTTTTTTAAATATTTATAATTTTTTAAGCATTTTGTTGATTATTTGCTTTTAATTTTAATGCATAAATTCTTCTTTGAGGTTAAAGTAAAATTAACTCTTCGAAGTAAAATTAACTCTTTGAAGAAAATTAACTCTTCGAATAACAATTATTAGAAGTTCAAACAACATAAATCGAAGTTAATTTTTAAAATTTGTAGGGCGATTATAAAATTTAACGCTGATTTCTGTTGTCAGAACTTCTAATAAATTCTTTTCCTAAAGCTGTTATGTTATAATTTGAAGTTTATATGTTGCAAGTTCTTTTTTCCGAAAAAAGCGTATAAAAGCAATATTTATACTATATAGTGTAGATAAAAACCTTTTCAATTTTCTTATCATTCGTATGTTTACTGAAGTACTTCTGATTTTCTTCAAGAACTTTCGCTTTGTGTTCAAACGCGGCTAATGCGGGGCGCAAGAAGCCTAATTTTAAGATTATATCGGCATTCAGCATGTCTTTTTCTCTACGATTAATTGTTTATAACTTTTAATTCAAAATGAGAGATAAATACGACTCTGTCTTACATTTAAAGAGAATAATGAAGTATATTACAAACAGGCTGTCTGAGCAGATTGCTTTCAGACTAATTGAATCAAATACTTTTGCTTATCTGAGCTTTCGATATTAAAAAAATGGATGATATTCTTGGGTTAATAATTAGAATATCTGACATAGTGATTAGTTTTCGTTGCATTGAATAACTTTACATTGTACATTTTTAATCTTTTTAGGATAAAATAGGGGATTTATCATGACAAACGTTGATATTATTAGAAAGGACATTAAAAAATAACTTACCTACATTTAGCTTTTGCTAAATGATTTTTTTATCACTTCAAGGTGCAATGACTTTTGTCCTTTATTTAGTATATATGTATTGGCATTAGCTTCTTTTACTCTTCAGATGTTTTGCGCCTTTTAGGGATAATTATATTTTGCTTAAGTAATTAAATTTAACTTTGAAAAATAATTATAGACAAATTGTTTAAAATCAGTTTAAGGTGATCGGAAGTGTCAAGTCCCTTTAGTTTACTTTAATGCCATTCCTCGTTACAAACTCTTTCACTTTTAATAGAGCTTCCTTGTTAAAATGAGCCTCTCAGTTCAACAAAAACTTATTTTTGAAATTAATGAAAGGGTACTTGTAAGGGGGGAATAACAATGGAAGATGCAAATACCAGTAAACCAAGTGGCATAAAAATCAACAGAACTGCATGGGTTCCCGTCGACCAAATTCCCTAAAAATCCCCTCCCCCAAAAAAGAAAGAAAATTAACTTTTATCATAGGCTAAATTATTGTAAAAACTAGCAGAAGTTACGAATACATATGTATTGGTAACAGTATTTGAAAAGCCAATAGACCTGTATGAATATCAAGAAATTTAATGCTCATAAAAGTCAACAAAAACATGTGCTTACCGTAGATAAATCTCTCAGAACTATATTAATGCTAAAAAAACATTTTAATAAGTATATGTTTAGATAAAAATAAAAAAGTTAACTATTAAATAAAAATAAATTCTCCTTATATAATTTTTTAAATAAAATTCAAAAAGCAAAAACATAATAGTTGAAGTTATAAACATAACGTTGCTTTCCATAACGCAATTAATTAAAACGCATTTAACACTGTAGAGACATTAGATTATTTCGAAGTAGGAAACGTGAAAAAATGAGCACTGTCCTCGTCGGGACTCGAACCCTGGACCTCTCGAATACTCGCCAAGTGTGCAAACTGTTACACCACGAAGGCACGCATTAAGGAGAGTGAAAATATCTTATATACTTCCCCTTTTAAAGGGTGACTGGGGATTAGGGGACCCAATAGCCAAATCCTGATGGTGAAAAATCATCATCAACCAAATTTTAGTTTTGGCGCCACTGCAGAGACATTGCACATTTTTCACTTCTTCCTCTTTAAAGAAATTCTGATGACACTATAGTGCCACTGTAGAAACTTTAGGTTATTTCGAAGCAGGAAACGTGGAAAACGAGCAGTGCCCTCGCCGGGATTTGAACCCCAGACTTATTGAATACGCGGCGAGTGTGCTAACCGTTACACCATGAAGGCGCACGCACTAAGGAGGGGAAATACCTTAAAACACTTTATCTCACTGCATGTGTCTGTATAAGATGCTGTATTTCCTTTTTTGCCAAGCATTTTAGCATTGCATAGAATAGTAACTTATTGTAATCTATATGCTGACACTTGCTCTCGGAAAGGGAGGAGAGAAAGCAAAAGAAAAATAATATTCCCAGCAAAAAAAAATCGAGAAATTAATGTAAAGAAATTAAAAATTAGCATATATCTCTTATGATAACCATTTCTCTGAAACAATCATTTCTGATAGTGACCAGTATTGCTTAAAACGTAAAGAAACAGTATCGAACATGATCTTTCTAAAGTGAACATTTCTACTGTACATAATGACTAAGAATAAAGTAATATTTATAATGTTTTAATATCCAAAATATAGTATAACAAAACGAATTTTCGAAATTTTATGCTACACAATCAAAATTTTCTCTCGATCTACAGTTTGGGAATCGTTGATGCATCCTTATTGCATCTGTCTCTTAATATGATTATATACTTTCCACCAGTTTAATGCTGTACAATCCTTTATAAATAAAACTTAAAACATATGAGTGTTTAACAATATCACAACAAATTTTCAATGTATTAAAAAGTCTTAATTTTTAATGCCTGTAAATTAGTGCTATAAAAAATTACAGCTTAATGTATAAGTAGTTGACTTATCAAAAATAAATGCTTTCAAAATTAAAAAAATTAAGACTATCATTAGAACTGAATGGAATATTGTTCCATATTTACACTATCAAGTTACGGTGCCCAAGAGCGGCCAAGTGGTTTAAAGCCTTGAACCAGTAATTCAGTCCATGCTCTATACTGAAGAATGAAATGCTGCATGAATATTTTCATGATTTTTTCCACGTGTACTGTAAATCTGCATGTGCAACGATGTATAAAGAAATATATTACCTTTAAACTGAAACGCTACCCATTTAATACACTGAGAATTCTAAGTACTACTATTTGTAATATACTGAGTGATTCTAAATTGTTTTTACAAATTAAGAAGGGTGATAGTATTCATCCAGATGAACAGCAATTACTATAAAACATAAGGTCGCGTCCCACTCTGAGCAGCAGAAAAGAGGAATTTTAAAATTCCAACCCGAACTTAAACAGTGTTGGGAGAGCGAATGAGCGAGACCAAAGTTGCACAATCAGTTTAGTGAAAAACTCACAAAGAGTGCACAAAACGGATAAAACCGAATGTTAATTCGAACTCAGAATTTGATGGCCAACACTCAAATGCACAAATTTGATTGGCAAGGTCTCAGCCTCGCAAACGATTGCAACAAGTTAATTCTCTAATCAAGGGCTGAATACTATCAACTAACTCCAACTTCGGCTATATGCCGAGATCATGCTGTGTTCCGGCTGTCAGAATTTCGTTCCCACAGAAGTGTGCTTCAAGTAGAATGAGAAAAGAACCTCTAAGGAGAAGAATAAAAGCTTCCATAGACGCAATGTAAACCTATTCTGTTCTTTGAGATGAGCGCAGCACGGTTAAGTCCAGGAGGACAGGATAGAAGGTGGCGAATGGGAAAAAATTGCTGCCTTTGGATACTTGATATCAAGGTAAAAGTTTTCCCCTCCTAATGGATAATTTCCCCCTAATAATTTAGATAATTAACTTGTTGCAATCATTTGCAAGGTTGAAACCTTGCCAACCCTAGATGTGCATTTGAGAGTTTGGCATAAAAGTCTGAGCTCGAATCAACACTCGAAAGCCAAGTTTTCGGTTTTATGGTTTTATCCGTTTTGGGCACTCTCTACACTCTTTTTTAATAAACGGATTGTGCAACGTTTGGTCTCGTTCATTCGCTCTCTCAACACTGTTTAAGTTCAGGTTGAAATTCTAATATTCCTCTTTTCTGCCTCTCAGAATGGAATGCGACCCTATGTTCTATGGTAATTATTGCTCATCTGGAGAGTACTATTGCCCCTCTTAATTTGTAAAAACAATTTAAAATCACCCGGCATACAAGATCTTTACGACGAAAATAAAAGGAATAAAATGAGATTTATGAAAGGTTTCTCAAGTCATATTGTTCTTAAGATTTCTTTAAAAGAACTGCCATATTACTAATGTTATCGCCAGCAGTAACTGTGTAATAATCAAACACAGTAAGAGCTGTAATAAATATTACACTAAATTGTACTAAATGCATTCTTTCAAATAAGTCATTTCTCTCTAATAGTCAAGTTTAATGCAAGTATACTGGAAAATCTTCATTAAACTAATGACTGGAATAAATGTAGCTTGGGATAAATTTTTTATAGTTGCAAGTAGTTTTAATGCAGTTATATTGGAGAATCTCTAGTAAATTAATGGCTAAAATAAATGTAGCTTGGGATAAATATTTTATGGTAATCAATTTAATAACTATAATTAAGTTCTATTTCTTCAAATTATATCCAAATTCAGTTCTTGCAATTAAATAAAAACTATTTCAACAAACATCGAGCAAAAATAATTTTATTGTGCCTAAAACTTTTTACTTGCTTTCAATAAATATGTAACAGCACTTTTCATAAGTAACAGGTGCGTTACAGTATTCAAACTGAATAAAATGTTTTCCACTTTCAGATCCTACAGTGACAACTCCTTCGACAGTCACGACGTTTCAGGGTTCGTCAACTCCTTGGATTATAGATACAACCACTTTAGCGAAAATCCAAAGCACGGAATACTCGTCTTCCATTTCGCCGAAATTCTTATCTACTCTTTCATCAATTTCTCAATATGAAACAACGACTGCATCGAATGGACTTACAACTGGAACTGGATCAGCATCTCAGAAAACTGAATCAGTAGCTACAGCAACTGGATCAAGTGTGAGCGAAATCTTTCCGTCTACGACCGGATCGCAAGTGACTGGTAGTGATTCCCATCATACTGGAACACAGACGACTGGCACTGGAATCTCAAGCACTGTAACAGGATCACGAATTACTGTATCCGAGTCCCAAGCAACTGTGACCGGTTCTGGTGTTACCGAATCTGAAACAACAGGAAAAGGATCGCAAGGAACTGTAACAGGATCTAAAGCAACTATAACAGGGTCACAGTCAACTCTAACCACATCTCAAGCTACTGTAACTGGCTCTGGGGCCACCGGATCTCAAGCAACTGTAACAGGATCACACAGGACCGTAACCGGGTCCCAAGCAACTGTAACAGGATCACACAGGACCATAACTGGGTCCCAAACAACTGTAACAGGATCACACAGGACCGTAACCGGGTCTCAAGCAACTGCAACCGGATCTGAGGTCTCCGGATCCGAAACAACAGTAACAGGATCAAGCGTTGTAACTGCATCTGACACAACAGTAACAGGATCAGGAGAAACGGTAACCGGATCTGATGTCACTGGATCTGAAGCAACTGTAACAGGCTCTCATGAAACCGGATCAACAGATTCTTCCACTGAAGTTAATCCTACAGAAACTCCAGGTTTATCCCGTGGTGCAGTCGCCGGCATTGTTATAGGGAGCTTATTATTAGTGGCTATTGTCGCAGCTGGTATAGTGTTTATTGTCAAGCAGAAGAATGATCCAGAACTTCAGAAGTTAACAGTCTAAAATATTTTAAAAACTTTTAGGAAAAATATTTGTCACCTTTATAGAGGACAATCTAGTCAAATGAACGCAATATCATTTACGTAATAACATGTATTTTATACTTCTCTGAATGTATACATTTTGAAAAATATATTAAGTTTTTTTTTAATTCGTCCCAAAATGCAATTTTACTTTTTTTCATGCATATTCATATAAAAAATAATCGCAAACAAAATAATTTTTGATAATCGGTGTAACAAATGTCACTTTATTATTAATACCATGTCAGGTGTAAATCGAAGTTTATGTAACTTCGACTGAAATCTATTTCTAAAATATTATCTCAAAAGCTGTTCATTCCAGAACTGAAACATAAAGTACTAAATATGATGTTTAAGAAATTTCTTTTGTAAATCAGAGCGGCTCAACCAGGTTTCAATAATAACTGCTAATACACTACAACAAATAAATCATCATTAAAGCGGAATTTTGAAAAAAAATCAAAATAAACAGCGGATACACAAATAAATAGAAAGATTTTGGAAAGACCAGAGGTATCAACTTCTATCTGTTACAAATATCAGATTGTATGATTTTTGACAAAATATTTAATATGATACTGAGAATATCTGACTAATAAGAAATTGGGCTTTGGAGTCTATCACATTTTTTTTTCGCCGGCTAAATTTAACAGTTCAAGGTTTAAAATGTTGTAGGCCGTATTTTACGACCTTAAGTTACATTCACACTACAATTTTCACTGCATTTCTTAATGACAGTCCAACAAATACTGAAATACAAAGGAAAAATTACTCATATAAAGAACAGTTGCATCGAAAAGTAAAGAAAATGTTAATATACTATTAGGTATTAAAATAAACTGAAAATTATTAGGCATTAAAACATTAAATTAATAATTTTAATATATTAATAATCTGATATATTATTAGACATTATAAAAACTATAAAAAAGCTTATTGAATTTAAATCATAAATGTAGCAAGTTTTCTAAAATCTTTTCTGTGGTTTTAAGTAAAGATTATTTAAGTGTATTTAAAAATCTATTTCAAATTTTTAAGCATAGAATAGAATTCTTAATAAAAAATTTATTTCTAATATTACATGGATCAGATGGCATAGTAGGTAACACATATATTGTATTATTAGGTGGATTAAACGGCACATTTACCAAAATGCTAGGGCAGTGTAGACGATTTATACATCAAATAATGTTTATAAAGTAAGAGATAAATTCAAGATGCAGTCAATGTCAAATTAAATTTATATCTTTACAAGATTTGTACATAGACTTTTTGAAGAATTATCTCCAAATGCAAAATGAAATTTAAATGAAAGGTCTGTTCAGTCAAAAACATTTATTCAGATTTATGCAAAGCAATAAAACGCAGTAAATTAATATTATTACTATTAGATATTAATAACATAGTGACAATGAATGCTATGCAGAATCAAAGTTAACCTGAATAACTTTTGGAATCTATATGGTAAAATACTAAGCGGATTAGCCTCCTAAGGTGACATAAGAAAACGACACAGAAAATATATTATATGATAATTAATGGTTCAAGCAATAAAATGTTGGAATGTATGCAATTCCAAAACGATCTGTTGATAAATACTGCTGTAATGCAATTCAATATATAATTTCTTTTTCGATATCCAGTGGCAAAGAAAATTTGGCAGGTGAGGGACAATGAAATGAGAGAGAGACAGAGAAAGCTAAAAAAAGGCATAAAAGTTAGAAAGAATTAATAACAAATACGTTGTCATGTAATATCTGCTACAGGTTTCAAATAATTTAGCGATGTCTATTACCATAAAAATAAGGGGCTATGTCTGATCTGTCCATAGAATTATGACCGCCAGAATAGCTAACCATCGAACAAACAAGCACATGCTTCAAGTTTATTCTACCTCACCACTTGTAAGCGTTTAAATTAAAATGTACGAATGTAAAATTAACAGTCAACCTGGACCTGGTTTCATTATAAATATTCCTTTCACAAATTATATCAATTCAGCAATTTAAATCTAACCTAGGCAAAGACTACAAGCGGCAGAATTTCGAACACACACTTACCAAGCAGGGACTAATCTCAGTTTAACTTATCCCTTGCAAGAACAGCCTTTTCTTCGTTCGGCAGGGCAGCGGAAGAAGGCCGAACTCTCACATTCCTATTTTTTAAATTCTTTAATTAGTAAAATTACTTGCCACTCAAAATCTATATAAATTCTGAAATGAGCGAAGCTGAGCAAGAAAAAAGGCAAAAAGGAAAAAATTAAATTAAATAATATTTCTTTAATAAAACTTAAATGTAAATGCCACAATCATACTATGTAGAAGAAATCCCCCCGCCCGTATTCCTGACTTTCCATAGAGGACTTCACGCTACGGGCAAGTAATAGATCTCCTTATGCAAGTTCATTGAAAAAGTAACGGCACGATTCACAGTATGTAGGAACAATATAGGTATCAAGTGTAATGCATAGAAAAATCGCGAAAAGTGTATATTTGATGACCGGTATGATGTATATTTGACAAATTTAGTGACCTATTTAAAAGGAATGTCCATTTCACAAATGCAGGTATACGCGCTACTATACATTTTTCGGTTCTTAGAAAACATTAGTTATTAATTACACATATTAATAACACATCATTAGTTCTTAGATAATATTGTGATTGAAAAAAAATACAGAGGTATTACACACATGCTATTACCGTAAAATTACGACTTTAATCATATTAATGCTTCTCGACTAACAAAGAGTTGTTTCTTTGCAAGATTACACGCTTCCTTAACATCGATGGTTTTGAAAAAGTAGAGACTAAATGCATAAAACATCTCCATAGCTACCCGAGAAAAAAGCAAAAAACTACAAGTAACGAATTTATATAAATAAACAGAAGAGATATAAAAAAAGTGACATAAACAATGTGTAATTAGGACAGCATGTATTATTTGCATGGATGCCTTCGTGGAGGACTTTCTAAGACAACCTGTCTTATCCCGACATCTGATATGAGAAAAACCTCAAAAATGGGTTGATTTTTTCCCAGCGAATGGGCTAGTTGCATGTTGAAATCGTATAGCCGTAGTTGCCGTGTATGAAATCGTATATCTTGTGGTTATCGCATGCGTATACACTGGTGTGCAAAAATTATGGACGAAGTCGAAAAATTAGCATATCAGCTGAACGAAGAGCCAGAGCGGACAGAAAGACCAATCAGGAGATTAAGTAAGGTGATGTACGGTAGCACATGCGCAGATATGCAGGTAGACGTAATGGGGGAGTGTCTGAGTAGTATAAAGCATGTTGTCGTTGTAAGATCAGTATTTCTGGCAAAGAGATTGCACGTCGTTATAGCAGTTAAAATCACACCGAGTTGCTGCCTCAGCGAGAAATGGAGAATAATCAATCTGTTAGACGACATCTGGATGCTTTTACCCGAGGTCGAATCATTGGGAAGTTGGAGGAAGGCCGCAGTGTGACAAGTGTGGCTGCAGAGTTCGGAATTGCTCACACCATCGTTTCACGACTTTGGAGACAATTTCAAACTACAGGAACAGCTATCCGGGGGTTTAGTAGTGGTCGTTAACGAGGAACCACCCGCAAATGACCGGTATATTGCCTTACAGGCCAGAAGAAACAGGCGGCAGACAGCGGTAGAAATCGCTAGACACACGCCACAGGCGACTGGACGACCGATATCGCGTTTTACCGTGGCCAGAAGACTGCACGGTGGTGGTCTGTTTGCACGACGCCCTGTACGGTGTGTACCTCTAAAGCCTGCCCATCGGAGATGGCGTTCTCTGTGGTGCCGGGAACACCGGAATTGGAGAGACAATGAATGGGGACGAGTACTCCTTACAGATGAGAGCAATTTCAGTCTGAGTAGCGATTCTCATCGCATACTCATCTGGAGAGAGCGGGGAAGCCGCAATCATGCCTCGAACATCATTGAAAGGGACAGGTATGGAGGTGGCGGTGTTTTCGTTTGGGGAGGCATCATGCTTGGTAGTCGTACAGACCTTCACATCTTCGACGCAGGTTCAGTCAACGGGACCCGTTATTGTAACGAGATTCTTCTTCCATATGCGTCTTTTTAGAGGCGCTATGGGTCCGCAGTTCCTTTTCACGGACGACAATGCACCATGTCATTGCACAGTAGCTGCCGAATAGCTCTTAGAGAGTGAGGGTATTGAACGTATGGATTGGCCGGCACAATCTCCGGATCTCAATCCCATCGAGCATGTATGGGATTTTCTAGGCAAACGCTTGGCAGCTCGTACCTTACCACCTGTAATGATTCCGGAGCTTCGATTGGCGCTGCAAGACGAATGGGCAGCAATGCCTCAACAACTCATTGACACCCTCATTCTCAGCATGGGCAGACGCTGTGAAACCTGCCTAGCAGTCAGGAGAGATCATATCTCCTATTAAAGACCGGATGTTTCTACCTGGACACCCATCACAGGGATGTTTCGGCCTTCAGTTCCATTGCGCTCCATGCTACTTTTTCAATAAAGCTTCTTTTTATCCCTCTGATTTCTCTTTTAGTAAGTGTTGCTTACATTACTCATGTCCTTACGTATTGGGGATCTTACGGTATTAAATGTGTTGATTTGGAAAGCTTTTGTACAAAGTTATATTCAAAAAACTGTCTCGTCCTTAATTTTTGCACACCAGTGTAAGTAGATAGCCCTATAGTACTTTTTTCCACAATTGATTAAATTCCATTTAACTAGCCTGTTAGATGGAAACCAAATCAGGAATGAATAACAAGTATTCCGTAGTATTCAATTATTGTCAATCATTGTCGAATGAATTTACATCTAAAAATGTTTTCAGTTATTTGGACTGAGAATTCGTTAAGCTAAAGTTATACATTACAACAAAATGCATTACCACTGTTCAAAGGTTCAAAGGTCAAAAGGGTGCGGAAAAGTTTTGATAGCTGATGTGTAATGTATAGGTGGCATAAGCTATGAGAAAAGAACATTATTCACGGAACAATTAATAATTAAATTTTGTTCTCGTTTCTTGTCGGAGAGCAAAAAGTGCTTATATTATAAATGCCATGAAAAAGAACTAAAAATTTGTGATTTCTCACATAAAAACCAGTTTTAATGGAGAGTATGATAG